GCAAATACGACACGATGAATATAACAAAAACAAGAGTTTCAGTTTTCGGTTTTTACAATCATTAATCATGCACTTTCGTGCGCCAGTTTTGGTTGCCCATTTGGATAAAATAGCGGAATGAAGATTGGAATGTCGAAGCAAATTCAAGCAGAAGATGGGGAATACATATAGAGTGGTGTTAGGAAAATAACGAGTGGATGCACGAGCGCCACTGTTTGCGACACCCAGTCATATCACTCAGTGTAGCTAACCATCAGTGACCATCATCCCGAGGTCCCCAGCCAAGGAGCCTAACAGGACCTATGTGACTCAGTCTCTCGGGTAGGATTTTCATACCCTCATGCCAGGTCTTAGCTTCACCGCCCTCGATCTTTTTTCTAACCGTTTTCTGCCTCGGCAAACATCACTCGCCGTGGAAACCTATCTCGTGACATGCGCAACACATGTCCCAACCAGCGTAATCTATGGACGTCGACTACCTGCTCCAGTGGACGACCGCGATCACCTAAAACTCTAGGCCCAACCTCAGCATTGCTAGTCTGGTTACCCCACCAGACACGTGCAATGCTACGTAGACAGCGGTGTTCGAACACTGACAATCTATTTTTATCCTGTTCCTTCAGTGGCCAAGTCTCTGCACTGTAGAGCAGAACTGGCCGAACTGCTGCAGCATACACTCGACCCTTCACAGACAGCCGGATGTCGCAACGGCGCCACAAATGTCTCAAGTTGGCAAATGCCAATCGAGCCTTTTGTATGCGCGCCGACACTTCATCTGTGATGCGTCCGCCGGGTGAGATATAGCTGCCTAGATAGATAGCATAATTTGTCTACTTCCTCTACTACTTCCCCAGTTAGGGTGAGACTGGGCGCTGGATCAAAACAGGAGACAGAGATACGATGCATAACATCCGTGAATCTTATATCCTTCGTATTATTGTGTAGTTTCAAATTATAAAACATTAACGTTCCACTTTTGTGAGGCAGTCCATTTGGACGGAGTAAAAGGAAATCTTAGAAAGTCTGGAGTATTATCAGGTAGAAAATAGAGATTCAGATAAACTAGGAGTGCACGGAAACCCGGATTCCAAACGAACTAAGAACGAGTGTATGAACTATATGTGAACCGCAGTTCGTTGGTTGCGGTAGTGGTCACCGGATCGACTGGGTATTTGATGGACAAAAGCACCATCCTGAAGCTTTGAGACGAGATTAATTAAACTGATTCTTCTGCAGTTTTCAAAATAGGACCTATCACCTTTCTTTTATATCAGTAAGATAACTGATTTGCAATAGTGAACAATTCATACTAACCGGTAACCTAAGCCCTGAAACTTAGTGGCGAACCACATAAGGCCCCAATAGATCAGGTGAGGTATAGAACCTCTATTGCATAAAGAAGACTGGTAAACTGGCATTAGGTGTCTAGTTGAAGCACGAGTTGACAAATCTGATGTCAATGAAGACCGGTTTAACTGTGTCTTAAAATGTTCTACCCATCGTTGAATGTGAATTCGTGAGTCGTGGACACCCATAAGACGCTTCTTTTTTCTTTTTCATTTTTACTTCCTTTTATTAATGATGCAATTTCATGAAGAGGGAAGCGGCCAATCAAAGGTCGATTAGCAATCACACAACGAGATGTTCACTGCATTCTCGGATACTGACTGGGATCTGTTGTCCAGAAGAGAGTGCCTAGTGTTGAAAATTGGTATGATCACGACAACACTGAAACAACTGACCACAGACTAGCCGGACACAGGGAGAGTGTGAAATGTGAAGATGAGGTTGGGTCTAAAAGACGCAGTGCGATAACTGAAGTAGAGTCTTGTACGCATGATCCGGAGGATCAGTACGCGTCTACATTGGAATTTACAAAAACGCCAGTTAAATCAAGAATCAATAGTGGTCGACCTGATAGCGAGCGGACATTGAATGCAGAGAGGAGATTTAGATCCCATCACTCTAACAGTTTCAGAATGGCTTACCGACTGATAGACCCCAAATGGCAGAAAATGAGATATTTCGGTCTATTTGGGAGTGAGCGGAAGAACCGGACAAGTGAAAATACTTACATTGTAGAAAATGCTAAAAAGTGACCATTCTGCAGGAGAGAATAAAGCGATGCTTGACTCGACTCATGCAGTGAGTAGTCTAATGAGATTATAAACTCGGGGAAATTCGGAAATGATGTTGAAGAACCCCATTATTCTGTTTTTATCAAGAGAACATATCCGTTTCCATAAACTGACCTGGGGATCGACGGAAAACTATCCTCAGGTATTCCTTGACAAGCGGAACAAAGGGAACCTCGGAACTCGATTGCTATTCTTGACGACGAATGAAGATAAATTCGCTCTCTGCCGCTTCAACACTATACGAATACTGCTGGAGTCTGGTATGCTTCGCCATTCAGTCTCAGCTGGGTTATCGATGGTCGAAAATTTATTTCTTGTGATAATAGTATTTACCTCTGTTAACCGCTCATCTCACTTAGGAAAAGGGTAGTGATTTGATCCAGTGGCTTTGGCACGGTTGTGGTAACCGATGTGACATGAGAACTAGGCTTTACATAATACTCACCAAGCAAAAAACGTCCCTCATGTGTTCCGTAGAACATGGTAGACGGTGTTCCCGAGAGTGAACTAGCTTACAATCCGACTAACTGGTTTATTCAAATGACATCTTCTTACTGGACGAAATCATTATAACTGTTACGCTTGCATTCATCGAAACACTTTCGCCCTTTTCAGCGATGCGCTGCAAATATTTCTCTCAAATATCAAAAAGAAAATCTAATATTCAATAAACAAAATATTATGCGATAAATGCACGAGACGACCTATGGAATAGCTCTATGAACAATTTACCCAGATCACAAAGAATGAAGACAGCTTTCTGAAGCTCCGGGTAAAAGAATGATTGGTTTCGTGAGAGAGAAAGAGAGAGAAACGAAAGGCTGCCGCAGTTCAAAACAACGAGCTGCGTCCACGTTCCTATGAACTCCTCACTAAAGAGCACAGATTTGTCTTTCTGTTAATCAGAACAAGGTGATAAAAGAACAAAGTAACCAAAAAGAGAAATAAAGCAGAGAGACATTAGGTGTAAACCGCATCAGGCAAAAATATTCACTCACTTTTAATTTTCATGCGTACTTGACTGGCCAGCAATTTGATGGAGTTAGTCAGCTCTTCCAGTTCTTGTTTGGTACCTGCAAGTGGGATTTTAAAAGCGGGCGATCGAAAGCAACCAATAAGACTGGGATCCTGAAGAACAACAGACAACAGAAACTATCATCATCGATGCTGCGGAAAACTAAACCGAGATACTTAATTTGCCAAACATCTTTAGTCACTGTCTGAGGTCAGCCTGTCTCAGGAAAAGTTTCTCGAATACATGGGAATGATCACGTAAGTGGGTACAATGATTGTTTTCTTTTCTGATTTATACGTTTCGTCTTAACTTCATGGTTAAGTGACTTAGAAAACGAAAATATGTTATACTTGTTGCTAGTCCATTATTCCCATTCCCTCAAAATTCTGTGGGATTATCGTTGGTCACATTTTGTTTACCTAATGCCTGGTATTCGTGCATCAAAAAGTTTGGCACCTTTCGGAATGCACCCACACACACATGCATCAGCGAATAGCATTTCTGCGCATGTGATGGCGTCAAAGGTGGTGTTGTGCCATTTCTTATTTAACAGTTCGATGAGGTCGTTTCGATTCGATCGGGGGTGCCTTGAAGAAGGGTAGAGTCATCGCGGTGGCTGAATTCTCAACAAGCTGTGGTAAACAGCGGTCTAATTCACAAACCATTTAATTTGTCTTTGGTTTTCAATCGTTCACAAGTGTAAGGAACCAATGCGGTGGTGGGAAAACTCCGAAAACAATCGAAGGGAATTGGATAGAGAAGTGAAAAATACTGTTCATGGCAAAGGATATCAACCAGACCTACAGCCCCCACTCCCACCCCAGATGCATCGATGAAATTACCCACATTTAAATCAGATTCTACTCTGAACATCGCTGAACTCTCCAGGGCAGCGTATCCGGAGACATGTGCAGCAGTTATAACATTTGAACAACATACAATAGGGAGCATTAACAAAGTTGCCAGTTTAATACTTTACTGTAGCTATTTCCATCAAGTAAACGGGGAATAGTATCTATCTGATGACTAGTTTCAGCAGTAAACGATGTCCAGATACCATAATAAATAAGCCAGAATTTATCTGTTTCGGAAACAGAAATAGATTTTCCTGAAATGACACCTCCTCCCTCCCTCCGACGCTACCGCGACTCACGCTCATGATAGAAGTAAACCACTCAAGATAGGCAAATTTGATTGACAGCACACATGGATGAATCGCGAACAAACTTACGCTCATTCTGTTGTGGAGCAGACAACAATTCACTGTGCTTTGTTCGCACCTGTGAAACCAAACCTTGAATGCGATCCACTGATTCTCGAATCCACTCCACCTCACCGAAAAACTCGTCCATACCCCCATCAGGATCCGGAAGATCAAATGGTTGGCCAGGGTGCTGCTGTGCCTCTACATCTGCAGGCAACTCATTATTCTAATATCAGGCATCAGGTTTAAATAGCGTGTGTGCTGAACTAACCTGGCGTAAAACTTGCAAAAGATCTTTAGTCATTGATCAATGATGAAACAGATCGGTCGTCGAATCAGAGAATAAATGTGGACAGCAGACCTGTGATAAAACAAAAGCAGCGAAGAAGCGTGACTATTTGACAAGACATATAAGTAACTAATCTCTAAAGATACGGCGTTGAAATAACCGTGGGCTGAAAGTATATCACAAAAGCAGAACAGAAAAACTACAAAAAAGTCATCGAACAGAGTACAACGATATTTTTGATTGTTTAATGCTCGTAAATTTGACTTTTTTGTTTTTTTACTTGAAGGATTGTAGACATGAAGCGATGCATGAACGCCTTTGAATTCGTTTCAGTGCCAGTTCCCGCAGTGAAGTAAGTCAACGATATTCTGAATCTTTAGGCACCAGTCTAGAAGCCATGGAAGCCATGGAAGTCAGATCTGCGTACAATATCTTCATTCCCTACGCCACGTCAGGGTTTGGTCACCTCATTATTTCTCCAAGTAAACCCCAATTTCTGCAAACAACGCATGCTGGGGAGACGTTGTTCAGGCATTCGTAGTACGTTCCCCAGTCATCTCAGATGATGCAGTGAGATGGTTTTGCTCAATGGAACACTATCCGAATCTTGCACACGGCGTCTGAACTCTGAAAGTGCCTCAACTCACGCGATGATCCCAACATAAACGAGACGTGCTGAGCAGAAAACAGTTGTGAAAGATGGGTGGTCGTTGGATATAACCTGCTCAGAAAGGCCAAGTTAGGCAGCCGTCAATGAACTAAGGAGAAATCGCTGCGCTATGCACATGCACACAAACATATACCTGGTATTTTATCAACATTTCACAGCCTTTTATTCTGTTAAGATTGCCAGGAAGCTCTTAGATAAATCTATGGTACTGAGTTCTTCATGAACATCTTTGAAGATTTTAATTTTCAATTTGAAATACGGAGGTTATGTGCAAATATTACAGAGTGAACATATAGCAGCGAACAGACAGTCGTACCGTTTTTGCTCCCAATTTGCTGAGATCAACGTGTTTGAAAAGTTGTGTATTCGCAGTTAGACTATATGCTCTGTTTATTTATCATGGAAGTTAACTTCGATGACCTCCTTCAAAACAGTATCAATCCCCGTCCACCTTAATATAACTTACTTTGCGTATATCATGAGCTTGGCGACGATCAATGAAGTTCGATTCACTACATTTCGCTGTAAAATGATGAATTGATTACTTTTCCTTGTTCTTTGCCATAAAGATGCTATTACTTGCACGATAGTGCATGGTTAATGGTTGTACAAACTCATCAGCATCAGCATCGTACAGCGAAATACAGTGAAGCGAACTTCGTTGAATGCTGCCAAACTTGCAATGCATACAATGTTAGTGGTAAAATTTAAGGTGAACAGGGATTGGACCATTGTGGCTCATCTTCTTCTCCCTCCCTCAGAATAGGTCAACACAGAGTACGAAAGCGAACTCTGCATACATACCTTTTCAGTCATTCTGATTTGATAGGAAATGACAACAAGAAGGCCACTGCTGCCAGTCCGCTGCCATATCCTTTAATATCTCCGACCAGCCAGTTGTAGAGTCTTTCAGACCACAACCTGGAAGGTGAGAGACACCTGCTATACCTAATGGCTCTGTACATTTCTTCATGCCTTGTTTCCACGTCATCTGTTGACCTCC